CAGGAATGCAGGACACACCCAGAGATGAATTTGGGATCCATGCAGTCAACAGATATTTATTGAGTGTGAGACTGTGTTAGGCGCTGAGGCTGGACCTTTTACCATATTTTCCGTAAATCTGTACAGAAACCGTGCCACTCTTCGCTTCCTGCTTGTTATGTTTACTGAGTGAGTTTTTCTTTCTCTGAGGAAACTCCTTAATTGCAACAAGGTGTTCCTTTTATAAAAGCGTAAAGAGCAACATTCATTCATTCAACAAACAGTTGAATACCAGTTCAGTTGAGGCCCCTGCCCTCCTTGTTATGAGTTTAGTGAGGGGTGTCAGACGCAGGACTGGGAGTCAGTCTTAAGACGAGGGGTCAGGAGAACGCTAAGAGGAGTGAGCTGCAGTGTGCGGTGGGGCAGCTGGTATCAGGGCCCCGAGGAGAGAGGACCTGGGGCTGGATGAGGAGGGAGAAGAATAAACGGAGAGAAAGGCAGGGGTGCACAGGGTCCGATCCGAGAACTGGGGCTTCCTTTCTTAGGTCACCAGGAAGCCATTGGAGGGGTTAAGCCACAGGAACGGTTTCCGGTTTTGAAAGGACAGTCAGGCTGCTGTGTGGGGAGCAGATGCTAGGGGAGCGAGAGAGAAGGCAGAGACTTGGGGTGATTCAGATGAGGTGCGGTGGTGGAGGAAAGTGGGTGGGTGTGGGATCTCTTCTGGAGGTAGAAGCTGAGACCTTTTGACGATTGGGAGGTAAGGGGTGAGGAAAAGAGGAATCATGGCTGGCTGCTAGGTTTTTGCTTTAACTCCTGGATGGTGCTGCTACTTAGGAGGGAAGAAGAGGGGGCGGGCGTCTTGAGGGTGGGTGGAAATCCAGAATTGATTTTTGATTTTGTTATAGGTTGGGGTCCCTGTTAAGTGGATGTGAAAAGTTTCTGTGCATATATTAAGACTGCCTTCTGAATTTTAAAATATTAATTAATATACGTCCCAGTTTTTAAATTAGGGACGGGCCACTATTTAGACATAATGTTTTCAAGCATTTAAATCGCATCTTCTTTAATTTATTCCCCCCAAAGACCGCTAGATGTCACTGTTTACACAGGAGCCATTTCTCGTGCAGCATGCAGTGAGGAAGGGGCACTGGTGCCTGAGAGGGGAGCCCAGAGGAGGGTGGTCCTTGCTCTCAAGGGGGCCAGTCTGATGGGGAGCTGTCACCCCCTGGTGTGGTTTTCAGACACGCAAATGATGATAATGCAACTTCATATCAGACAGAAAGCTTGTGCAGTAGCCTCTTCTGTTTCATATGATGTTTGAAGTGGGTCTTGAAGGTTGTGAGGTGGTTCAGGTGGGGGCACGGCACTCTAGGCAGAAGGAACAGCCTGGGAAAATCAGCACGTTCTGCTGTTCACTGCGTGGAGGTTAAAGGGAAAAGCTCCTTGGCTTAGGGGATCGGACCTTTCCCGTGTTTCTCAACAGAGGCACAGTTGGCATTTGGAGGACTATTTTTTTCCAGTGCAGGTCTGGCATCCTTGGCTCCCCACCTCACATACTAAATGCCAGTAATCTCTCAGGTCATCGTAAAAACAGCAGGGAGAGATGATGGCACCTACAGCTGAGATCCCTTTCACAGAGCACAACCCCAAAGTGGTGATGAAGTGGGAAGCGACTCTCCTGTCTCCCCCGCCCCCACCTTGTGCTTTGTTTTGAAGTCCTCTCAAGAGTTAACCTGTCCTGTGCTTTGTACATGGTGGTATTTAATGCACTGGCTGATGATCCCCTCATGAGTAGACATCTGGTGTGACTTCCCAGAATGAAGAATGCCTCTTACACACCACAAGTCCATCTGATTGGGCTTAATAATACTAGCATGAAACTTCAGTGATAACTAGCTTAAATGTTCTCCCTTCTTTATATTTCCCCCCAGGCCAGGATTCATATACACCAGTGTAAGGACTAATTACTGCTAACTTATCAAATAACAAGTAGACTTTGTGTAATGGAAGCAGAGGCACCAGTTGTGCAGTCAGGAATAAATGAGGTTTCAGAAGTTCTACCTTTTTGAATTCTTTGTAATTGCCTGACATGGCTGTACCCTTTTTTTTTTCCAGACAATTTATGAAAACCGAATATACAGCCTTAAAATAGAATGTGGACCTAAATACCCAGAAGCACCCCCCTTTGTAAGATTTGTAACAAAAATTAATATGAATGGAGTTAATAGTTCTAATGGAGTGGTAAGTTGTTTCTCCTGCCCCTACTTGTTCTCTGGGGTTCTCTGAAAAATGCTTTGTACTTTAATATTATCAGGGGCACTTTGGGCCGGAGTCCATATGTTAATTGGTTATTTGATGATAAAATATATTGTAATATGAACATGTGTAGATTTGGGGTGAGGGCCTGTTTCCCAATTGTGTTTAACTACAACTTACGTGGCATTTACTCTGGCCTGTATTTCTCAGCACTATGCCGGTCACTTTGAGATAAGAGCTCATTCAGTCCTCCTGATATACACCCAAGAGGTAGAGAGGTGAGGAAACCGAGGTGAAAGATCTTGCCCAAGGTCACACTTTTACCTCATGGGCCTTATTTGGGGACGACATACTATTTTTTTCCTCTAATGGTCTTGCTTTTTTAACTTATTTTTACCACCATTTGCACTGCCATAAATGGAAACCAGTCTCATTTGTCATAAGAAGGCAGTAACAGCAATGGTAGATATTACAAAAACAAAGCAAAGTTGGTAAACTCTTCCTCCATATGTTGCTTGCCAAAGGTTTTTGAGCCTCTGAGGCCTGCTGTCTTGTTCAGAGGGGAGATCAGCAAGTATTAAAGGGTGCTGCATATTAGCATTGCATGAGCTAGTAAGCCTTCTGTTTTGAGGTATTCAGAAGACTTGAAAGAAAATTGAAAAGAGATGAGCCTTGTTACTGTGTTCAGTGTTTAGTGTTGTCTTTGAGCTCCACCTGAAGTCCTGAACCCAGGACTCAACTCACACTTTGGGGAATTTCTTGGGGAATATATGCTACACTAACTTGAGAGGGTGTGACTCTGAGGAAGGCCCTTGTCATCAGAGCCTGCGTCCTCGCCACCCGTTGCTTGTGCTCTCCCTACTGCCCCGTACCTCTTCATCGTCCATGACCTGGGCGTAATGTTGAGAGAGGACAGGCCCTGAGCAGTAGCAGCAGCCAGCCCAGGGGCAGCTCAGGTCGTTGTTTCAGAGCCAGTTGGGTTGAGTCTCACCAAGTGTCAGTGCCATTTCTCTAAAGGTGGCTTTACTTATTCATAATTTCCTTCTCCCACACAGTGAGGGTTTGGGACACAAAAAGGGAAAAACAGACTAACTGGAGGGAGGGAATCCTGTGGGTATTCTGCATGTCAGATACCACTGTGTGATCAGCGTGTTCAACTTGAAAAATGCATTTTACTCACGTTTCTGCTGTAGCTTAGCTCCAGCATACAACTTTTCTTTTGTTTGAGAGCCTGACAGTAATTTGTTCTTTGTTTGCCTTTCTGTAGGTGGACCCAAGAGCCATATCAGTGCTAGCAAAATGGCAGAATTCATATAGCATCAAAGTTGTCCTGCAAGAGCTTCGGCGCCTAATGATGTCTAAAGAAAATATGAAACTCCCTCAGCCTCCTGAAGGACAGTGTTACAGCAATTAATCAAAAAGAAAAACCACAGGCCCTCCCCTACCCCCCATTCGATTTAAGCAGTCTTCATTTTCCACAGTAGTAAATTTTCTAGATACGTCTTGTAGACCTCAAAGTACTGGAAAGGAAGCTCCCATTCAAAGGCAGTTTATCTTAAGATACTGTAAATGATACTAATTTTTTGTCCATTTGAAATATATAAGTTGTGCTATAACAAATCATCCTGTCAAGTGTAACCACTGTCCACATAGTTGAACTTCTGGGATCAAGAAAGTATATTTAAATTGATTCCCATCATAACCGGTGGGGCACATCTAACTCAACTGTGAAAAGACACACCACGCAATCACCTTGCTGCTGATTACATGGCCTGGGGTCTCTGCCTTCTCCCCTTCCCCTCCCCCTGCCTCCTCCCTCCCTGCAACAGCCCTCCAGCTTGGGGTGGCTTCTTAGAGTAGATGTAAGGGTTTCAGGTCACAGCCTGTGGGACTCCTGCTGGGTGTGGGGGTTGCTTCGTCTGCACCCCTGGTTTCTTTCTTTAAGTCTTAAATGCTGCCCCCCTTCTAAGCCGCCATCCTCTTCCCACTCTCCACTACCACCCTTGGCCGAAGCATAGATTGTAACCCCCTCGGCTCCCCTCTGAAATTGGCCTTTGGTGAGGAATTCAGGGCTTTCCCCATATCTTCTCCCTCCACCTTAATCGAGGGGTGCTGCTTTGTCCTTCCTCCTCCTCAGGTCCCTCTTTGCACCATCACCACCCAACACTTCCCATGACACTTCCTTGCTTTGGCCAGAAGCCATCAGGTAAGGTTGGAAAGCATATCTGACCTCCCTCATTTAGTTTTGGAACCACACTTACTCTCCACCAGCCTGGGAAATGAATATTGGGTTCTCAGCCCTGCCACCCGCTGCTGTCATCATCAGCTGATACGTTTACTTAGCTCAGGTTTTGATAAGGTGAAAAGAACAGTCACCAGGGTCACAGACCTGCCAGCTCTCAAAGTCCTTGGTGGTTAAACTTGGAGAAAGGCCACAGAAGACACTTGTAAGCACACACGATCCCTCTGAATGAATTTTCTTTGCCTGTAATTGCTTTTGCTTTTAAAAACTGAAGAAGTTTTAAACAGGGCTCTCATTGGGTCGTCCCTGCAAATCCATTTGGGTCTAGTTTGGAATCTGACAACTGGAACAAAAAGAACCATGAACTCGGTGCACGCTTTGGTTTCGGTGCTGCTGCTTCTCTTGGTCCTCAGCAGGGATAAGAAAGAACTCGGTGTGCACGGCAGATCCCCGGAATTCCTGGCCAATGGCTGCGTTTTTCCACTTTTCTGTTCAGGACCACTAAATGCTGAGATGTTGGACGCATACCGAAATAAAAGAAATTCATTGTGTTCTAAGGTTTTTTTTTTTTAACTTAGTGTTTGTGTAAAGCCACCTTTTGAAGCAGCAGCTATCAAGTCTGAAAAGCAATTGATGTTTCCATTCATCTTTTTCTGGGGAAAACCGTAGTTCTAAGGATTTAACATCCTGTAAGTAAAGTTTAACATAACAGTATTCCATAGGTAGACTTTTTATTGTCAGACCATTGCCTGATTTTAATATAATAAAAAGTGTGCGTTAATATTTAAGAAGCTGTGCTCTTCTTCCTCTTGGCATATAATTTATTCAGTAATAGAATTTAATGTCTTTGGGATTCAATTTGACCTCCTAAAGCAGGGGTCGGCAAACGTTTCCTATGATGGGCCCAAGTCAGTAAATATTTAGGCTTTTTTTCTTTATTTCTTTCTTTTGGCCATGCCGCACGGCTTGTGGGATCTTAGTTCCCAACCAGGGATTGAACCCAGGCCCTCGACAGTGAGAGCACGGAGTCCTAACCACTGGACCGCCAGGGAATTCCCAAATAGTTAGGCTTTATCGTCCAAGAGGCAAAATCAAAGAAATTACGTGAGTATTTATGTAACGAGAGAAAACAAATTTTCACAATTTTTTGGATGAAATTCATAACATCATAATTGAGTACAGTTTTTATAATGTTACAGGTATACTAAGAAGAATGAAATGCTTTTTTTAGGGGATAGCATTTAATTGGGATTCAAAGTTAGTATTCCTTATTATCAAATCTATTGCAAATGTTCATCTATAAAAATCTTCCTTCATTTGAGGGGCCGTACGAAACCAGGCTGTGGGCCAGATTTGGCCCATGGACCATAGTTTGCCAACCCCTGCCATAAAAGATTGAGTGAAAAAAAGGGTTGTGGTCTCCCCTCTTTCCTTTGGTTTAAGTAGCTTTGTGGGGGGCTTCCCTGGTGGCGCAGTGGTTGAGAATCTGCCTGCCAATGCAGGGGACACGGGTTCGAGCCCTGGTCTGGGAAGATCCCACATGCCGCAGAGCAACTAGGCCTGTGAGCCACAACTACTGAGCCTGCGCGTCTGGAGCTTGTGCGCCGCGACAGTGAGAGGCCCGCGCACCGCGATGAAGAGTGGCCCGCACTCGCCGCAACTAGAGAAAGCCCTTGCACTGAAACGAAGACCCAACACAGCCAAAAATAAGTTAATTAATTAATTAATTTTTAAAAATTATAAGTACCTTTGTGGGACCCTAGCTGCTAAGTCTCCACTAGTACCTACTTACTGGCTGGATGTAGTTGTCTTCTGGTTGGAAAAGAAAATAGAATTTTCCCACGTGTTCCTAGTGTTTGAAACAAGAGTTTTGATCTGATTGACAGTTTGTCTACCCTCTCCTGTGTGAGGAGTGGGAACATGTCGGCGGCTGTTTTTACTTAGGATTTGCACTTCTGCTGTGGTCCCAGCCACCAGTAGGCACCACCTTGGTGTCCTGTGCCAGGAGCTGGTTCATCCCTTGCGGCCGTTGGGGCCGGACCTGACTACATGGAGGGCGTCGGGTTGTTCCTAACACGCCACCCTCCAGAAAGTGCTGCCAGAATTTCTGCCAAATGGTCCTTACGAATCTGTCCTCTGGAGCGAATCGCTGCCTTTCAAGCTCCCCTGAAAGGGGATCGGGCCAGAGACATTTGTGGGCTCTTCACCCTCAGTCAGTTCTCTCAAGGGAGAAAGAAGATGGGAGATTCTAATATTATTTCACAGTTCTACTGGAAAAGCCCCAGAGCAGAGTCAGGGCGGCAGCTCTTCTGTGCAGTGACTTCCAGAGAGGGAACAAGTCCCACCTGAAATCCGAGACTCTGCACCTGTTACCCTCTTAGCGGGCTACAGGGAACTGGGCCTAGAGCTTCAGGAACTCAACCAGAACCTCCTGTGACAACTGTTTGAACCTTTGGTCTGTGGTTATGTCCCACAGTCGTGTGATTTACTCCTTATCTTTGCTGGTGCGTTCACAGGTGGTCTTAAGTTTACAGCCTAAACTTAGGGCAGAGAAGCGCTCGTCTGAGGTGCAGAGAGAGCACTTCTTTCGCCAGGTGGCCTCCCACCCCCAGCTCCTGCCAGGTCTTTGCTCTTGAGAGAAAATACTTCCACTGTTCCTTTTCACTGTGCAGAACTGCACGGAGCGGAGAGGTCTTCACAGGGACCTGACAATGCTGGGGGTAGGCACCCCCTTCTGATTGACCTACAGCAAACCAGCAAGGGGTCTCCACTGCCACGTGACCTCTGACCACGATCTTGTGGTGAGGGCCATGCCCTTGAGCTGCGTCTCTGCTGAGAAAGTTCTTAGGCCCTTCGGGTGGAGGTGCCACCGCTGCCTCCGGTTGTGATGTAGCAACGTGGATGGTGTTGAGTCAACGGCACGGGCCCTGCGGAGAGTCTGCTCCTCTGTCTGGCTGCCAGCCAGTCCCTGCCTGGCCTCTTGCCCTTCCCCCCCCCACCCCATGGCAAGTGGACACTCAGTCACGTTCCCTTTCCTTGCCTTTGCCTGATCCACAGAACCCCGTGAAGGACTTGGGACGTAGTGTCAAGGATTTCAGCAGAGGAGGACATTCTAAGGAAGGGCAGCATGTGAAAGCATCTCTTCTTTCCACGTGAGAAATGAGATCCTGGGGTGGGCTCTATGGGCAGCACATGGCTCTGAGCTATAGGGGTGACACCTGGACGTACCTCAAAGGCTTTCTCATGGCGATTACGTAAAGTTGGCTGCTGTGTTTTAGAGCTGTTGGCACGTTGGCTGCAGGTGGCCTTGGAAGAGGGTACGTCTTTGCATTTAGTGCCAGCCTCGCTGCTGCTGGTCCTGGCACCGTGAACAGGAAGGCACTGTCCATATCTTTGGGGTTCAAGCACGTGTCTGATGAAGGTGCTCCTCGGTGCCAGGGATGTGGGCTGAGTGAATGCCGGATCTTTTTTTTTTAATTGGAGTATAGTTGATTTACAGTATTATTAATATATTAATTTTAGGTGTAATCTTTCTGATACAGATTTTTATGTGAAGTCTCCCAACATTAGTGTGTCAAACTGATACACTTTTTTCATTCCCATGTAGAACAGTACATCGCAGCTTGCAGGCCACAGTTGAGGCCTCCAAACATAAGGCTCCATCACCAGCTGTATCTTGTCCTCCCAAGGTTGTCATCTTGGTGGCCTTTGACCTCTGGGAGGCCTGCAGTCCTGGAAGCTTTGCCCAGGGACGTGCAGTGGGTCCCCAGAGCGTGGGCAGCACTACCTGTGGCCCAGGTGGAAGGTGCCAAGTAACACTGGGCTGCCGCCGGATCCCCGGGAAACAGACCCACATTTCATTGAGTCTGAGATGCCATCCGCTGTGAGATGCACCGTTATTTTATGTACTACCAAGAAAAAAAATGCTGCCAATCATAAGGGTAAGACGCTACCGATCGTAAGGAACGTCCCAGTTCCAGAAACGTTAAGACGTAAAAGTGTCCATTTTAGGTTTGGCGAGAAGTAGGGTGTCTTGTCAGTTGTGATAAGGACAGAGGTGGCAGCCACCCTGGCAGTGAAGGACGGAGACCACATCACATCTCCTGCTAAAAAAATTAACCTGCCCCTTACACTATGAGGAGAAATCTGAGCTGGAGACCCCATTTTAATTTTTACTAAAGAGAGACTACATGAACCTAGACTGTACTTGAAACAACACAAGGCAATAGAATGGAAGATGAAGTTCCTGCCGCTTCTGACCCATCCTCTCAAGGCAAAGCCCTGAGTGTTTGGGTCCCTCTGACGTCAAGCACGCATGTGCAAGCCGTGCCCCCCTCCCCCTCTCCTCACCCACTGTATTTTGTTGTTGTTGTTAGTGTAACTGGGAATGTGGCCTCCACTTTG